TCCAGCTCTTTAGTGCAGTGTTGGTCCTCCCAAACTCCCATTTCTAAATAGGAGTAATATATATATATATAGTTGTGTGTAGTCTATTAATAGGTGGACCACTTGTGTCAATTGTTAGTAATAGTAGTTGCTTACGTTTCTAATTTCTTTGGGCTATGGCCCTGCACAAATTTTGTTGCATCTCTCCGTTGTCCAATGCACCATTTTTACGCAAATCTAATTACAAGAGGTGTGTATAACATATTAAAAATGTGTTAATATTTCAAGTTCAAATTATACATACCAAAAATTTGTAACACTATCAAAGCTTTCTACTGTTGTAATATGCATATGTAATACAAAGCTTAACTTCACAGGTAGATAAATAAGTTATCGTATGTCTTTTGCATATTTGTTTTAGTCAATGTAATTGAAAGATCTCCAAGTCCTTTCAAATTTGAGAAAACATTTTTTCCTTTTTGTTGGGTTTTATTTGCCCTGAGTTTCTTACCATAAATAGGTTTTCTTTTTAGGAAAAAGTTTAAGATTTGACTAGTGTTTTTCTTGTTGGAAAAGGTTTAGGACTATATAAATATATATATATATATATACTTGTTTCTTCTAACTTAATCAACATTCATAATGTAGTCCTAGGGGCTTTGAGAGTTTTTGTTGGAGGGGGGGGGGGGGGGGGGATTTTTGGGACACATGTATCCCGAGTGAATTGGTTGAAGCTGTTTCTCCCTATATTTTGTACTCTCATATTTATATAATGAATTGATCATCTCTTTTGTGGATGTAGGTCGATTGACCAAACTACGTTAAATCTTTGTATCTTTTGGTATATTTCTCATTTGTCTTATTACTTATGGTCTTTCGAGGTTTGCTTTGCTAGCTTCCACATAACACATGCTTATTTTGGTCCTAACACTTTCCTCAAATAATGAATATAATTGTCAAGATCAAAACTAAGTTCTTCAAGGGTGGAGATATTAAGTTCATCTGAAAAATACGTAAAATGTTCTGCGATCTTATTTTATCATAATTTATAAAAGAATTCTCGTGACTCAAACTAGTCATACCAAAAAGTAGGTCAATATTCACTTCATTATAGCAATTGTTAAGCTCTGAAAGTTATAAATCAGAAACAACAAAAAACACTTTCAGACACAAATGGTGAGAATATATATGTTAAGCAATTGTTAAGCTCTTACGCTTCGACTTTTCAAGATCATATTTCTCATTCATTTTAGGGATCATATTACCCTTTTTTCGTCAAAAAAATAGAGGAATGTCTTCTATCAAAGATTTTTATATATTTTGATTCCCTCATTAACTATAAAAAATAATAATTGTGAAATCAATAAATTTTGTAGCACTAACAATATCTTATTTTTTTCGTGCAGAGCCATATTCAAATCATATGTAATTATAAAAAAATTCAATATCAAATGCAACATGTAGATAAATACTTGATTTAATGTATTTCACTAGACTTTTTGTCGTTGATTGCTCATGATAATTTGCCCCCTTATTTTCAAGAACTTCAAGTACAAAAATAATTGTTGAGAATAACAAAATAAAGTTATGTACCTTTGAAGTTCAAGTTTCTGATTTAATTCATTCCCCTAGTAATTCCTCTAATTTTCAGCTTGATTGTTTCACAATATCTCCCTGCGCTTAAAAAAACCCTCCGACGATATGTAAAGCATTGAAAAAATGTCAAAAAATTATTCACGTCATGATGGTTCTTCACAACAACTACAAATCAATTGGATTTGATGAGCAAAACAATGTATGCAATGTATCAGATAATGATATTTCTGAATTGAAATTGACTCAAAAAATGATCTAAAAGCAAAGAATGGATTGCTTCTTTCAATGAATTTGCAGATGTATATTTGATATGAACAAGATAAAAAAATCTCTTGATAAATTTATCTTACTTGTTTGTATATACTTACGAAAACCATTGTTAGAACTCATAAGCATTCAAGCGAGCTCGATGATCACCTTGAATATTTTCGATTGTGCTTGTCAAATAAATTTCGAATATATTGTTCTTGATCACTTAAATCTTGCATTATCTTAAAACACAAATGTAATGATCCGGTCAGTCATTTTTGGAAAGTTGTGTGAACTTACCGTTTTCCCTCCTGATATTGACCGCGAGTTGTTTTTGTTGAGTTTTGAAAATTGATTTCAAACTTTGAGTTTAAAGTTGAGAATTTGGTAAGATTTGAGTTTGAAAGGTTAATATTGTTAGAAAGAGGTTTTCAGTGTCTTTTGGAGTTTCAAGTTTTGGAATATGGAATTCCGTAGATTCCATCAGTCCCAAATTGTGGAATCTAATTAGTGAGAGTTGTCGATTTCAAATTCGGAGCCTTTTTGAGGATTTGAGATCCTAAGTTAGAAATTGTTGAAAAATTAGCCTTTGGGTTGACTTTGATTAACATTCGGGGTTCGGTTGCTCAGATTAGAATTTCAAGAGTTTCGTTAGATTTGGGGGATGATTTTAAGTCTAGGTGAGGTCTTGGTTGATTTTTGATAGGTCCCAAACCTGTTTTAGCCGTTTTAGACATTGTGTTAGTTTTCTGTGGTTTTCACAGATATCGGGTCAAGGAGTCCTCAGATTTGTGTTTCGACAATTCCATTGAGTTTGAAACATTGAGTATAATTGATTTGCTTATGTGGTTCATGTGTATGGGTATCTAAACGAATCTTGAGGGTTCTTTCGATATTTTGAGAGCTGATTTTTCTAATGTTGGTGTGCTTCGCTTTCATGAAGGGTGCCTTGCGATCGCAATGTTCGCGAAAGAGAGACCCTAGTCGCGAAAGTGAAGGGCCTCAGTTAGGCAGGGTTCGCTTAAGCGAACCATGGGCTGCGATCGCGATGTTTGCGAAAGCAAGGTCCCCACTTTCACGGGGTTCACATTTAGCGAATCCAAGGTCGTTTTTGTGACATCATAGAGTGGTTTTGACCTGCAAATTTCAGGTTTTGAGCATCATTTTTTCATTTTTGAGCTTGGTAAACCCTTGGAGGCGATTTTCGAAAGGATTTCTTGTGCTAAATCGTTTGGGTAAAATTTTGTGATCCTAAAACTTCATTTCCCTTTGATTATTTATGGATTATAACATCAAAATTTGAGAATTTATTGGCAAATGACAAGATTTTTCAAGAACTCAAGTTCTAAACTAAAATGAGCATTGTGAACTTATTTTGAGTCATTTTTTGAAATGATTTTGAGCAATGAGTTCCTAATTAAGGCCTTAAGTAACATTTTCAAGCGTTGATTTTCAGAATTGGGTTTTGTGATTGACCCATTTTAAAAAGTATATAAGTTGTGTATTGTTGTTTCTGGAAATTTATTATGAATACTTGATTGATTTGATTGTATGGCTTTGGACATTGATCGAAAGGGGGAGACTCAAGTCTTGGAGTGACTAGTTGATCGATTTAAGGTAAGTGATCTCCAAGACCCTGTAATATACTATAATTCGTGTATTCCCTTCATTGTGTGTATGTTGAGAGTAATGAGAATGAGGTGAATGGTTAATTATTCACTTAATAAATCTTAATGAATAAAAAGGGGTTGAAATGAAAAGGCTATGTGTTGATCATAATGCTTGCTATCAGCTGTTTTAAAAGCTTTCTTTATAATGCATCTCTATTGTTGCTTTTATGTTGAACTGAGTTGAGTATTTCCGAGTTTGAGTACCTTTGAGCTGAGATGAGGTGAGTATGTTTCTTCAGTTCCAGTTCAAGCTTATGTCATGTTTTAGATTTCCCCTTGTATGCTCGTACATTTCATGTACTGACGCTATTTGGTTTGCATATTTCATGATGCGCAGAAATAGGTAACCAGGGTCATCAACAGGCGCTTCGTTGATACCACTTGTAGTCCCAGAGTTGTTTGGTGGCCTCCTTGCTTCTGGAGGATCCCTCATTTATTTCTGTTATTTCAGTTTGTTAGGATGATCTGGGGTCTTGTCCCGACACCCCTCATAGTATTAGGGGCTTCATAGATAGACAATTGTAGTTCATGAGTCTTTTTCATTTCCATTGTTGATGTTTGAGACTCGAGTTGCCTTCTTTTGGCTAGTTGAATGTTCTTATACATTTCTGAGTCTATTATTTTGAGACATTGAGTTTAAAGGTTTTACTTTTAAAGTTCTCTTATTGTTGAGTAAGTCTTCCGCTGAATATTGAATCAGACCAAGGGTTCGCTTGGGGCCAACAATGGTTCTCGAGTGCCAATCACATTCAGGGAATAGGCTCGGGGCGTGACAAAAATGGTTCCGGCTAATGAAATGATATGAAGTCGATAGGAAATGGTTCTGGCTAGTGATTTAAGCCGATGAGAAATGGTTTCGGTTAGTGAAACAAAACCAATGAGAAATCTTCCATGCACATTTACTTTATTTTTTATTTTTTATTTCATAAAAGCATAAAAACATCTCTTGCTATATATATATATAAAAGAGAAACACTATTATGTTTATGAAAAAATCAAACCAAATCGAATACAACCAAATCTAGTAATATGAATTATATTTGATTTTGATTCGTTTTCATAATTAAAAAGCCAAATAAATTAAGTTGATTGTAATTTTAGCCAAAAATCGATCCAAATCAAGTCATGAACAGCTCAACGCATGATATAAGACTTTATCTCTGTGAGTTCCAATTTGTCTTTCTAAAACATCACCTATTAGAGAAACATTAATCATATTTTACGTCTGATGTTTAGTATAAAAAGAGATTATTAATAACAATATTTTTAGCTAGATGTGTTTTAATATATTTAAGGAAATCATTATTGAACGACAATCATATCCCTTAGAAGAGGAAGAATACTGTCATTATTTTCTTAGCAAGAGATTATTGAATTTCAAAACTAAAATGAAACTAACAAGTTGTACAATATAATAATGTTTCCACACATACACTTAAACTGAAAATACGAAAAATAGATACTTCATTTTACTCGATAAATAGGAATAGCCATTAGAGATAGTGTGACTATTTGACTTATTTTCACATGTGCATTTACTTATTATGCAATCGATAAATAGGAATAGCCATTAGAGATAGAGCTCTAGCTGTTACCAAACCAAATTTCTCAGTCATGTTAATATCATTTGACATCATACCATTTGGAAACTCCCAATCGAAGGAGTGAACTAATTGAGCTACCACCAAACGAACAATGGTAAGCCCTAACTGTAAACCAGGACAACTTCTTCTGCCAGAACCAAATGGTAAAAGTTGAAAACTTTGTCCTCGAACATCAATAGTACTTTCAACAAACCTCTCTGGTATGAACTTTTCAGGCTCATGCCAAACATCTGGATCTCTTCCGATTGCCCAAACATTAACCAAAACTTGAGATCCTTTAGGTATGTGAAATCCATCAAGTGTGCAATCTTCAATTGACTCATGTGGAAGTAATAAGGGTGCAACTGGATGGAGCCTAAATCCTTCTTTTATGACCATGTTTAAGTAATGTAGGTTTTCTAGGTCTTTTTCTTCTACAATCCCCTTTTGGCCAACTACATAATCCAACTCACTTTGAAGTTTCTTCATTACATTAGGATGTCTGAAAAGTTCTGATAAAATCCATTCAATTGATGTTGATGAAGTATCCATTGAAGCTACCAACAAGTCCTGTATATTGAAAATATATATTTAGTGATTGTGAAAAGACATAATACATAAATAACCCCTTTAACTTGACTTCATTTCACATTTATACCCTCCAACTTTGGGTATGCACAAATAGAAACTTAAACTTGTATAAAGTTGAACAATTAGACACATAAGTCCTACACGATAATTGATTTTGTTTATCAATACGCACAGAAAAGTTTACACGATAATTGATTTTGTTTTTAAATGGTACAATGAAAAACTTAGGTTACTTTTAGACCATATATTTTATAACTCTTCCCTTTATTTTTATACTTTTGCCAAGTCAAATACCTTCTTAAAAAGTAAGATGAGTAAAATATTATTTAATTAGTCAAATACCTTATTCATTTTAGGATGAATAAATTAACAAGCCAAGTCCCAAACCATGTGACATCTCATTTTTTTAGTCTATTTTTTAAAAAATAGTGTCATACTTCGGTATAGTTAAAAATAATTTATTTTTAAAACTCTTCTTCTATCCTTAATAAAGTAATTTACAGTTATACAATTAATTAAGAATTATTTTTTACAATAAATTTTAAAAGTTGATTTTTGAAAAATATGAGAAAGAAGTATACAAGATGGACATGATTGGGGTGAACAATAAAGCTTTTGTCTTCGCCTAAAAATTTGTACGATAATATTTGCGCCACGCATGAGTCGTGGGTTATCTTTAATATCTTTTCAATTTTGCTACTTGTATATCTTTAATGTCGGTCCAAAAAAGATGAATTTCACGTCCAAAATTGTGATGTGGGCCACTTGGTAAGTGTTGATGATAGTTGATTATTAAATAAGTTACTTGTATATTAATTTTTGTATAATTTATATGATACTTCACAGGTAGAGAGAAAATAAGTTAATTGGGTATAAAATTAATAATATGACGTTTAATTGGCAATTTTAAAATTCGCACAACTAATACATGAAATGTAGTTATCATATTTGAGACTAAATCTATCTGAAATAAATCATCAAAGATTTGGCATATATTAAGCCGATATTTAACAATCACCTATAAATGATGCATGTGAAATAAGCTAATATTCAATTAGCAAAATTTGTAAAATATCGTACTAAATCAAATAATGTCAAATAAAATAAAAAGAAAAAAGTATATATAACATGTTTGGAGGCATGAACGGGACCACATTGAGCAAAAGGGTGTCAAGCAACACACCTCAATCTAAGCATATTTTTTACAAAATATAATATATTCATGCTTAAAATTGTGGTTAAGTGGATTGTAATCAATGAGTCAAAGATATAATTTATAAGTATGATAATTAAATTTTTATCTTTTCCTTTATAAATATCAATACTATTTTCTAAAATTTTTATGTACGTCATTGACCAGAGAAAATAGTAAAGTTTTGTCTTGGTCCAAAATTGTACTAAGTGAGTTAATATAACGTCCACTCATGATTTATCTTTAATGTCTTTTTTTGCTACTTGTAGAAGTTAATTGTCTATCCGAAAAAGATGAATTTGACGTCCAAATTTGTGACCGTGAGCCACTTAGTAGGGGTAGTTTGATAGTTGGATAAGAAATTAATTATTTATTTTATGTATAAATTTTTATAATTTATATGATGTTTTATAGATAGATAAAAAATAAAATAATCACGTATAAAATTAATACCATGCTTGATTGATAATTTAAAAACTGGCATAAATAATACATATATAAATTATAAAAATATTTATAAGTTATTTTATGCATAATAAAGTATAAAATAAGTAATAGTACTTAAATAATTTATAATACATAAATAACTAATATCTATATAAAATAATACATAACCGAATTAGTACTTTCTCTTCTCTTTTTTTCCACACATGATAATAGTCATAGATATTTTCCGTCCATACATAGCATATAATAGATATAGATATGTATAAGTGGGCGTTTTCAATGAAATAAGATATTTATGAGCAATCATTTATTACTCATAAGGCTGCCTGACAGGCATGCGCTATAATAGTACTGGACGGCTAAAACATATTAGTGATCTAAAATTAAATTTGATTAAAAAAATTTTAAAAAAATATTTTACTTTTAATGAAATTTATATAGTTAATTTTTAATTTTTTCAGACATAATATTTTAAAATTTGTTAAATTTCTAATAATCTTTTTTATAAATAAAATTTTATATTTTCTATAAATAATACTTAATATATTTTTTGAGAAATATACCTATAATTTATTATTGAAAAAAAAAACTTGAGGCTACTATTTTTTAGGCTTGTGGAGCTACCTTTGATATTGTATCACAATAATTCCAGCAACATGACAGAAAACTTTCACGTGGGGAAATGTCATATATATTTGAAACATAAATCTATCGAAAATAAATCATCAAAGATTTGCATATATAAGTCGATGTGTTGGATATATAAGTTGATGATGCATGTGAAATAAGCTAATATTCAATTGGCTGTTATAAAATATAAGTAATATAAAATAATGAATACATATCAGTCAGAGATATAGAGATTAGAATGTAGAAATTATTTTATTAAGATATTTTTAAAAATTATAGTTATCTTCGATTCTTCTTTATGTGAGAATATTACCTATTTATAATTTACAAAGTGTCTTTTCAAAACAAAAATTAAAGACTTTAATTTATTTGATTGGTATATGAATTATCAAGAATTGGTACATATATAAGATAATATCATCGTTGGGAAAAGACTAATGCTATGAATACAATGCATTCATTATGTTTGAGAAAAGGTTCATTCATGCAATTATTTGTTAAATTAAATGATATAAATAAATTAAACTTTTAACGAGTGACATAAATAAATCTTTTTTTTCAAAGTTTAATGATATATTTGAGGCATTTTCCCTTCATTGTATGGACATTCACCCATGTTGAATTAATGAATTATATTAGCACTTCCCTTGAAAAAAAAATTATTCGAGTTTTTTTTTACTGAATTGATTTTATTACTTATGTTCTGAAAATTAAAATTTAATTACTAATACTTTTATATAGTTATTTGATATATAATTACTACTTAATAGAAGAGTCTACAAGTAGTCATGTCTTCGTCAACATGCCTGCTTGTATGATAAAAGGATATTTTTGAAACTTTCTACTTTTTCCTTCTTCAACTCTTTGTAATCTCTTGCTTTAAGGGTGTACTTTTTCTTTATTAGACCAAAAAAACCAATCAACATTTACCTAATGACTCATATATCCAATCAAAAAGTTATTCTTTTGTTGAACTGTGTGGGCCCAACTCATGGGCTCACAATACTATGTCGGCTCCTCATTCCGTTTTTCCTTTAATAGTAATAGTAATATTTCTATGGAAAAATCACCCCATATACATATTTAAGAGTAAATATTACGGGTTTTAAATTTATTTTTAAAAATTCTTTCTTATAACAGATTATTTACGGGTTATGACATATCAATTAAATTTTATTTTATTTAAAAATCAAATTTTATTTATTTAATAAATTATTAATCTATTTAAAGGTTTTTATTATCAATTAATAATAGGTAATTAATTTGATTTCACTTCCTTTTTTTAGAACTAAAATTTTCAGTTACCCAATTTTAGGGATTTTCTCCATACACATTTTCTTTCCTTGTTTACCGTTATCATCCCCATTCGTCAATCCCGCCCCCCTTCCCCACGCTAATTCACTCCTAGATGCCACAACCCACTATCCCACTTTCACCATTGTTTCTCATCAAGTCTAACTTCAAAATAGTCCACCCCCCTCCCCCACGATTATTCATCATCATGTTTAAGACACCCATTGAAACTCCTCGAAAGAGTCCCAAATTTGATGGAATTTCAATCGATGATGTTCATGCTCCATCGTTCAATATATTATCCCAAACACCCCGCCTAAAACTGTTGAAATTCTGGCGACCGGTGGTTCCTCTCGATCGAAGAATCAAAAAGATAAAAATAATGAAGCAAAGGAAAGTGTGATTCCGGCAAATCAAAAGGGGAATATAAGAGGAAGGGGAAAACACTTGTTGAAACCCCTCGTGATTCTGATTTCGATTCCGATTCCGATTTGGATTTTGTTAGTCAAACAAAAAAAGAAAAAAATAAAAAAATCAACAAATGTTGAAGTTGATCAAACATCAAAACCATCTACAAGAAGAAAAACAAAGAAGAAGGAATCGGAATTACCAAAATACAAAAACCCCAAAACAATTATAAGGGTAAGTACTTTATTTAATTTACTTTCACATTACTCAAAATAGTTATTTTTATTATATCACATTATTCTTATTATTGTTTTCAAAACAGTTGTTTGTGTGAAATTTGTTCCAAATCTGAAAAAAATGTTTATGGATTTGACTATAAAATTTGGGTGATGTATTTTGTATGAATTATTAAAAAAATGTTTATGGATTTGACTATAAAATTGTATGAATTATGTATTAACATTAATGCTATTGTATCTTAATTGTGTATAAGATTACAAATTTAATACCAACTTAAAACACTTGTCATATATTTCGTCAAACTTCCAAATAACTTTTTTTACAGATTACTGAACACACTTTCATACAAATTTCAATTCATTTATTCTATCAAATTCATTATCAACTTAAATCACTTTTCATACAATTCGTCAAAATTTTAAATAACTTTTTAAATAGATTACTGAACACACTTTCATACAAATTTCTTTCCATTTATTCTATCAAATTCATTCAAAAATATACATTTAATTTATACTTTAAGAAAAAAAAAAACAGTATTCAAAACAACCACAAAAACAAAAAATCACTAATACTATATATTTCACAACAATTAACAAAAAGTGATATCACCTTAAATATATTGACGATTTATAGTTTTATCATTTTTTTTTTCATTTCACTGTAATTTAAAAACAAACAATAAACAATAATAAATACTAACCTGAAGGATCCCATCTTCCACCATGTTTAATTAATATTGATATGTTGTTGTACATCACAACAAAAT